CTTCTCTCTCCCTCCCCCCATTACTTGCTCCCTAGCGTCGAGAAATCACCGGCGCGAACCCTCATCTGAAATTGTATTTGTTCAGGTTAATTATCAACTTTCCTTATTTTCATTAGTATTAGTCTTCAGCGAGGCGGAGGTGGTGTAGTGGCAAGTGGTACACTTACCACTCGCGCGGTCCTGGGTTCAAATCTCGGTGCACGATGGTAAAGCATAGTCGGTGACAGTGCAAAGTTCATTTCAAGTAATAAAGTTAAATTAAGTCAGAATGAGGCATCACTGAGATTCCTTCTGAAGCGCAGAGAATCAATTGTGTTACATGTCAGCAGAATTCAGGATGAAAATGAGTAAACATTCATGAGATTGACCCAGAGCGGGAACCGTTGGTGAAGTCTGACGCAAAAAAATGAGTGAAATCATTGGAAGTCCTATCAAGAAGTCCACAAGGGAACCCCAAGAAGTCGATCCGGCCATTTGCAACTGGGTGTACATGAATGTATGCGTCTGGGGAGGTTGAGCTCAAATCTGCTTTTGCAGTTTGCGGAATAACTCGCTGAATGGAGTTTGAAGGTTTTTCAATCGCTACACTGTCTCACTGGGGCACCCCTACAACGAGTTTGAGGCAGACATGGAGCAGTGGGTAGAGCAAAATGTCGCGGATTCGACCCTTTACTGGACTTTATTCTCTGAATTTTGCGGGAACATGGCTAAAGTCTCTTAACATCACACCTGCATCAGTGGTAGCCTGCACTGAATTAGCTCCCGCAATAGGTCAGGTAGCTAAAGCACGAAGGAATCAGTGGTTTCACCCGCGATTAACGAAATAACGATGGTTTGTGAGGGCGGGCGAAGCGGACTAACTGTGTTCTGGAAAATTCTTTTCCCAGTCACTTGCTTGCTCTTCTTTCTAATTAGGTCCAATTCACCAACTGAGCCGTGAACTTAGCCACGGACTTAGGCTTTAGGCTTAGGAGTTCCCGCCATTTCCACTACTATTGGTGATTTTTTTCACCATATAGATAGTTGATTTCCTTCACACATCGGATCAGGCATAGATTCATTCTGCTCTGAGAAGCTTCAGCTTACCAGCCGTCGACTTTCGCTCTGTTAGCCAGCGTTCAGACTTCGCGATGGCAGCGCTTCCGTCGCGCGTTCGACGTGATCGCGTATGCTTTCGTTCTAGACGCGCGGTACGTAACGCGCGACTCGAAGCATCGCAAGCCGAGCGGCGCATAGGAGAAGTCCTGAACGTTATCACCCCACCGTTATCGCCTCAGCAGATCTATGAATACGATGGAGAGCGAAGACTGTGTTGTTGAACATAGGGGAAAGGGTCGTCATGGAATTTACAAGAATAGCAGCACATCCGAACACTAAGATGGCCCGCTAATTCATCCCCACTTTTTCGATGAAGAAGTCGCACATCTCAGCACGCGATGTGAAAACCAAATTCAGAGAGACTCGCCAAGCTCTAACTTATTCCTTAAGGATGGGATACATCTTAGTCCATTCAGGGTGAAAATGCATACGAGATGAGGTGCGCTACCACCGCGCACAGTCCTTCTTTTTGAGGCCACAGATTCCTGGTCCACCGTGTTGGAACGTACGGCCAAGTTCTAGAAGAATTCAGGTGATCGCGAATTGGGGGTTACAGTGCGAGCACTCTTGTAAGTAAATGAACAGGTCAACCGGCCCGCCCTGAAACCTTCATCTACTTACTCCATTCAGAGGATCGTTCCGCAGATTCGGGAGGCAGATTTAAGTTCAGCGTCTCAGAGTGCGTACATTGGTAGATGGCTATGGCTAGATCGACAAGTCGGGGTCCCTTGTTGATGAAAATCGAACGGTCGATGGCAGAATAAGAAAGATCGAATGGTAGCCTGAATCAACGAACAGCTAATGTAACAAAGTGAGCTACAACCTCTAACTCAAAGCTCATCGCTTTTGGTAGGTTTGATCATCAGAAGGTTTGAGTTATAATTGCTAAATCGATTAAAATCGAATCCAGGCGGTTCGTATGGATACATCGTATACACGACTACTGACACCATTACCAAGATGGTGCCGAGCGAGAAAAAGAAACCAGGTATGAAGTCGAACAGTAACCACGATCCAATTGCAGCTCCAATAATGGCGATGCTCTAGAATAGCTCTGTTGTGAAATAAAAAACGAAAATCTTTTGTACAACAACAATCAAGTTACCGTTAGTTCACATTTAAAATATGTCATTCGGAAACCCTTGAGCCTGGTAGAGTTTTGGAAAGAGAGTGGATACGACTATAAATGGGAAAGGATTCATGTGGCAGAACCACGTGTACAGTCGTCATCCGGGCAGTTGATTAGGCGGTCAAAGGGTCGCAGACGCGGCTGCGGCGCGTCACGACCGCGGCGATCAGCTGTTTCCAGCCTATTTAGCCATTTTCTCCCTAATTTTCACTGTTTTGACTGCTTTCCTTCTGAGAAACATTTGTTTTGGCTGCTTTCCTTCTGAGAAACATTTCGCCGCCTCTTTTTCCAGTCAAGCAAATTTAGTCACGACCTGTGCGTATGCCTTCAGAATATTGTCGGCGTATTTGATGACAATAGAGATCAGCAATCCTCCAATAGAATTCAGCACTGTTAAACTGACAACCATGACATCCCAACCGCGAAAGAAGCCATCTGCAAGAATGAAAGAACTTTTATTTCAAGGCTCCTCAAAAGATCTTTGTTATAATGATGTTGGAGCTACTAATAGGTTGGAAAGGAAGTCTTGTCACTGTTGTGACTACTTTTTTTTTATTTTCTAACTCAACATACAGTGGGAATTAGTCAACAATATACTCGTCATAGTTAGCCACTACAGTGCTCCACCTAATGGGCAGGTAACCATTCCCCTCTCCCAGAACTGAGGAGGCTGCGAGTAGAGTAAGTCAGGCAGCCTCTCGACTGATATCATCAAAGTTGCTGAAAGTTTTCTGCGCGTGTGAAGCTTGACAT